AGCACCATCACATGGCATCCCTTGAGACATCTTTGGAGACAGCACACAAAATTGAACACAGCACACGAGAACAGAGTTCTTGTGCTGAATGGCAGCAACTAAGGAGGTGCCGCATCACCTCTTCCAAATTCCGAGAGGTCTGTCACACCAGGGGGGAAAGCTCTGCTGAAAACCTCGCCAAAAGGCTTCTGAGACCTTGCCATCAGACTGCTAACATGCGGCAGGGGCTTGACATGGAGCCTATAGCAATAGAGGAGTACTGCAAGGTAAGGGTGGTGAACCACTGTCCATGTGGGTTTCCGATACACCCTGATGCACCATGGATGGGTTCATCACCTGATGGGATTGTGTACGATCCTGAGGGGCAGCCAGTGTTTGGCCTATTGGAGATCAAATGCCCAAATGTAACAAGCTATGTGGACTGCCCTTACTTTCAGATCAGGGAGGGTACACAGACAGTGAGGCGATCTCATCCTTATTACTGGCAGATCCAGGGCCAGATGTTAATTTCGGGGTGTGACTTTGTTACTTACACACAAGATGACATGTTTATTCAGAGAATTTCCCGTGACATGGAAGTCATTGAAACCATTAAAGAAAAAATTGACCGTTTCTATTTTATTTTTACCTCAGTGCCTTCTTGGGTAATGTAAATGTATTTGTAGCAGTGTTGAATAAAATGTTGCTGCATTGTGTTTGTTTATGCAAAATGACTGTAACAGATGACTTGGATTTAAGCATTTAGGTGTTTTATATTGTTTAAGTAATCAAGGTAAATGACAAACTAAAAAATGGGTGATAACAAAAGCAACTTTAAGTTTTTAATAGGCAGCACTTTAAGACCTCAACTGTGTGCAAACAGATTTCATGAAAATATAAACAAGAGTAGGGAAAATATGAGTTAATATGTAAAGATAAATGCTGGCCTATTTAAGCCAGAGTACTGCTCACATTTAAAGTATTTTAAAAATGGAGGGTAAAAAACATTGTATTTTCATAATTTGTTTGCATATAAACATATACTTTATATACAGTGGGGCAAAAAAGTATTTAGTCAGCCACCAATTGTGCAAGTTCTCCCACTTAAAAAGATGAGAGAGGCCTGTAATTTTCATCATAGGTATACCTCAACTATGAGACAAAATGAGAAAAAAATCCAGAAAATCACATTGTCTGATTTTTAAAGAATTTATTTGCAAATTATGGTGGCCTACATTAAATACTTTTTTGCCCCACTGTATAGTAAGTACACAACAAAAATATAAATGCAACACTTTCGGTTTTGCTCCCATTTTGCATGAGCTGAACTCAAAGATCTGAAACATTTTCTACATACACAAAAGACCCATTACTCTCAAATATTGTTCTCAAATCTGTCTAAATCTGTGTTAGTGAGCACTTCTCCTTTGCCATGATAATCCATCCCACCTCACAGGTGTGGCATGTCAAGGTGCTGATTAGACAGCATCAATATTGCACATGTGTGCCTTAGACTGCCCACAATAAAAGGCCACTCTGAAATGTGCAGTTTGATCACAGCACAATGCCACAGATGTCGCAGCGTTTGAGGGAGCGTGCAATTGGCATGCTGACTGCAGGAATGTCTACCAGAGCTGTTGCCCGTGAAATGAATGTTCATTTCTCTACCATAAGCTGTCTCCAAAGGCGTTTCAGAGAATTTGGCAGTACATCCAACCGGCCTCACAACCGCAGACCACGTGTAACCACACCAGCCCAGGACCTTCACATCCAGCATGTTCACCTCCATGATCGTCTGAGACCAGCCATCCGAGACGGTGTCTGACAGTTTGTGCAGAAATTCTTTGGTTATGCAAACCGATTGATGCTGCAGCTGTCCGGGTGGCAGCAACAATCGGTTTGCATAACCAAAGAATCAAAAGACTTTGAATTATCTCAGCAAAGGACAAGTGCTCACTAACACAGATTTAGACAGATTTGTGAACAATATTTGAGAGTAATGGGTCTTTTGTGTAGAAAATGTTTCAGATCTTTGAGTTCAGCTCATGCGAAATGGGAGCAAAACCAAAAGTGTTGCGTTTATATTTTTGTTCAGTGTATAATGTGTAGTAATATACATATATACACATTTCATTGTACTATATATTACTATATACATACATAAATGTTAATGCTACATATAAACAAATGTAGATAATCGCTACATATGAACAATTGTAGATAATTGCTATTTACAGAGATTGGAAGTCCTTTCTCAAAAATGGGGCTCTGTTGGACTAGTGTTAGTCTTCAGGCTTCTTTGCCCAAGCCTTTACCAATGGCCCATTTTCATAATTTGTTAGGAGACAAGCCACTGTGTAGAGCTGGTTGATGCTTCCAAAAAGGCGTAGGGGAATTTCAGAGTCAAAGAGTTTGTGCTCCTTGACCCGGCGAATGAGGCGCTCCACATGCACCCTGAGACGAGCAATGTCCTGGGTCTCCTTAACTTCACATGCTGACATTTGAGACCTGCCAGAGAGGAATGCTGGCCTGTAAATCTTGCATGGTACCATGTCATCTATAAGAAAACCTCGGTCTGCCATGACAGCCATCCCAGGTTTTAGGAGGGTAAGGAGACCACATTCACGTGTGATCTGCTTGTCGCTGACAGACCCGGCATACAGTGAAGAGACGAATGTCACTGCCCCATGTGGCACAATTCCAATGAGCCCTTTCAGAGTGCAGTGTGACTTGTAAGAGGAAAACACCTCACTCTGGAGGACAGGGGAAGACGGACATTGACACCTCAGCTCAGTGCAGTCAAGGATAACTGTAGTGTCAGGGAAGTCCTTGAAATCTGCTGGCAGATTTTTACGTATCTGCTCCTGAGGTATCCTGATCCTCACTGAGCCAAGTACTGTGTAGAGGAAGTTGCTCCATGACATAATGATTCGACTGACCGTGGACTGATGGATTCTGTACCGGTCAGCAAGGTCCTGCTGCTTGGATCCAAGGGCGAGGTAATTCAAGAAGAGGAACAACTCATTGATAGGCTGCAGGGAATGGGCTGTGGTGGATTCTATGAGAGTTCCTCTCTGCGCTTGCCGCACACTGACCATGGATGGTAGAGACGGCTCAATCAAGGCCCAGAAACGCATAAGCAGGTCATATGATGCAAACCTAAAGAAATAGAATACAGATATTCAAATAATAACTGTAAGCAATTAACTAAAAAGCAGAGGAAACAGAAATAACTTTGATGTATCTGCGTATAGTGTCAGTTATTTAATATCAACTGTTAAGAACTATTAATACGCAGAAGTAGTGAAGAATACTGTGTTAATAATGCATTTAGGCCATTGCATTGTACAAACACACACTTATGTGTTCTTAACTATCCGGACTTGACTTACCTTGTGAAGAACCGGATATCTTTGTCCGTGGCAGCAAAACGATGGATGCCGAACCTCTGCGTCAGCGTAAGGCTCTCGATCTGTTGGCGCAGCAATCTAACTTCCTCTCGGAGAGATGCATTTTCTTCCAGCACCAAATCAACAACTGTAGGATCGGGACCCAAGGCGTAGTCGTGGTCCATGGGGGTGTCTGTATTGTCAGGTGCATTATCCTTCATGTCAACCTCTGCCGGCGGTCTTGGTCTTCACTCCCAAGCCCCCGGTCTTGGAGGTGGAAGGGAGAAATTATTCCATGCGAATAACGCTGGAACAGCTCCCTTTTTAAGCAATCGCCGTCCTCTCTCTGATGCTGGCTCACGAATATCTTCGGCTTTAAAATGCCGGCTACACACCCGGGTGTGAGGCGTTATGGCAAACTTTTTCCTCCGGATAGCGACGATCCATTTACGCCTTATCTCCTCATCCGAAGGAAAAGTAAAGAAACTAAGTACACTGTTGTACTTACTAGAAGCCTGGCATAATGGCACACAGCAATGCTCAGCTGTTGTACCACACGTTTTCTGGTATTTAATTCTTCTCATTGTTCACTAGTGTAGATGCGTAGGCTAACGGAAGTATTCGCGGTGGCTGAAATTTAAACGGAAGTACATCAGCGCAGGCGTTGGCATATAGTCCATTGGAGTTCAATTTGAATTTCAGGGAGATTTAAGTTCCAACTCCAGTTCCATTTCCTGATTTGGACTGGAATTGATCAATGCATTCCGGAATGGCCCCAACCCTGTTACATGCATTCTGATACAGCAGCATCACTCATTAAAGGTAATTTCCTAACGTCAAAGAATGCAGCCAGAGCCATCACAAGTGGCTTTCCAAGTTCATCATAGGTCAATTTTCAGGGAGGACGTCTTTCTCTGCCAGAGCGTCTCCACTTCATGGGTAGATGTAGATGTCGATTCTTTATTTGTCACATGTAGTTATAGCTGCTGCAACATACCTGTACAGTGAAATGCCTTTTCTGGCAAAAAGTCCCCCGGCTGTGCTATACATACAAAAGGAATAAGTACCAACATCACAGAACGATAAAGATAAAGAAAGATAAAGTGCATACAGTATACAGTATATAATACATATAAGTATACAGAACATGACATTGCACTGTGAAAGTATAAATATAAAGTATAAATTGCACTGTGAAGATATAAATCTCACTGTAGATGTGCCATAAAGTGCAGATGTTTTATAAGTTATGGAAATGGATAGTAGAAGACTGTGTGTGTGTCGTTGTCCGTTATGTGCTGTGGTTGAGGAGTCTCACTGCTTGTGTGTAAAAACACACACTCCTCCTAAACCCTTCAGTTCTTGACTTCAGGCTACAGAGGCGTTTCCCTGACCTCAGTGGCCTGAACAGTTTGTGGGTGAGATGGCTGGAGTCCCTAGTGATCCTGGTGGCCCGGGATCTGCACCTTTCAGCATAGATGTCCTGCAGGGCTGGTAGAGAGGTTCTCATGGTGCGTTCTGCTGTGCGCACTACCCTCTGCAGGGCTTTCTGCTGCTGTGCAGTGTGGTTCCCATACCACACCGTGATGTTGCTAGTCAGGATGCTCTCGATGACTCCAGTATAGAATCTCCTCTGGATGTTGTTGGAGATCTTGAACCCCTTTAGACGTCTCAGGTGATAGAGGCGCTGTCTGCCTTTAGTGATGAGGAAGTCTGTATGTGTGCTCCAGGTGAAGTCCTCATTGATGTGGACACCAAGGTATTTGAAGCTGCTGACTCTCTCCACAGGGGTTCCATTGATCTGTATTGGGGTGTGAGTTAGCTCCCCTCTTTGTCTCCTGAAATCAATCACCACTTCTTTTGTTTTGTTGATGTACATGGAGAGGTGATTTGCCTCACACCACTTTGCTAGACCGTCCACCTCACACCGGTAGGCCCTTTCGTCATTCCCGGAGATGAGTCCTACCACCACTGTGTCGTCAGCAAACTTCACAATGGAGTTAGTGGGGTATCTGGCCGTGCAGTCCGCGGTGTAGAGAGAGTAGAGAAGGGGGCTCAGCACACATCCCTGGGGGGCCCCTATGTTCAGCGTGAGTGTACGGGAGTACACATCCCCTACTGTCACTGTCTGTGGTCTTGCGGTCAGGAAGTTGTATACCCATTTGCACAAAGATGTACTGAAACGTAAGTCCTGGAGCTTATCCGAGAGGGTGTGGGGGATTATGGCGTTAAAAGCTGAGCTGTAGTCTATGAACAGCATTCTCACATAATTACCACATCCCTCATCAAGATGGCTCAGTGTGGAGTGCAGGACCTGTGCGATGGCATCTCCAGAGGATCTGTTTGTCCGGTATGCAAATTGTAGCTGGTCAAAGTTGGAGGGAAGGAAGGAGCTGATGAAGGGTTTCATGAGTTTCATGAGGGTTCATCCTCCGCCTCTTCAGGTAGAACACCATCAGGGATGTTAATAACTACATGGTCTGAGGATCCATATGTGTCTGACTGAGGATGGAAATTCTCTCCAAATGGCTGAGAATCCTCCTCCAATGGAGTGACAAGTTGAAAATCATGCATCATACTTTTCTTTCCCTCTTCGATTGAGCATGGTTCACCACTCAGCGGCTTAAAGACGGGCACAGTGTCAGGAGCTCTTTGAGCCCCAGAGTCCTGAGAACTGTCCTGGGAAATTCCATGAACCCCATTGGTTTCTTGAGTACATGTGAAGTACATTTTTGAAGAAATTTCGGGAGTTTGACCGTAGAAATCCACTTCATTGTCCATTGTTTCTGTGTCTTGCTCCTCTAGCTGTAGTTTTGTATTGTGCATGTTCTTACATGTTTCTTTGGTGACACTGTTTGTATCAGGCTGCTCAGAGTCTCAGGAAGGAACCCACACGGAAACAATAAATCCCGATGCAGTGTACGATGGGGTCCTTCACCTCTCTCCGGCTTCACAACATATACAGGACCATCTGCCACCCGCTTCACAACTCTGTGTATTGTACTTTCCCACCTATCAGTTAGCTTATGTTTCCCTCTGATGTTCACATTCCGCACCAGAACTCTGTCTCCTTCAAATAGTTCAGCTGCTCTAACCTTTGCATCAAATCTGATTTTGTTCTTCTCTCCCATCTTCCTAGCACTCTAAGCTGCCAGTGCATAGCATTCCTGAAGGCGACTCCGGAGGTTCTTTATATACTCAGAGTGGGAGATATGGAACCCGTTACATGGGCTAATGCCAAAAACTAAATCGATGGGCAGCATAGGCTGACGCCCAAACATCAGTTCATACTGCATGGTGAATACCCTGTTGTGTTGTTTCTTGTGCAAATATATGCACACACTAAGGGTTTTACAAAGTCTCTCCAATGAAATTTGTCTCTGTCATCTAATGTTCCCAGCATTCCTAAAAGTGTTCGATTGAAACGTTCTACAGGGTTTCCACGTGGGTGGTAGGGAGTAGTTTTCACCTTTTCTGCTCCTATAAGTGAGCACAGTTCTTTGATTGTATATGACTCGAAATCTCTGCCTTGGTCACTAAGCAACTTACTAGGGAAACCATAATGTACAATAAAATTTTCCCCACAGTGTTTTGGCAATGGTTTTTGCCTTCTGATCTTTTGTTGGCACGGCCACTGCATACTTTGTGAAATGGTCTGTTAAAACGAGTATGTTTTTTGGTGTCCTTGCTGTCTGGCTCCAGCGACAGGTAATCCATACACACAAGTTCTAGTGGATATGTAGTGAGTATATTTTCCATAGGAGCAGCTCTCTGTGGACTAGTTTTTCTTCGGAAACATCTCTCGCATGTGTGACATTTCTTCTCGATATCCTGAGCCATTCGTGGCCAATAAAATCTTACACGTGCCAGGTCAAGTACACATTCTGCTCCAAGATATCCCAATCCATCATGCACAGCTTGGAAGCTCTGGTCTCTGTATTGCAATGGAAATATGAGCTGACAGCATATCCCTTGTCCATCCACCTCCTGTACAGTACACCATTCTTAAGCTCAAGTTTGGCCCATTCTCTTAGGAGCAGTTTCACTTCTTCTTCTTCAGAGACAGTCTGCTTGTATGTTGGTTTCTTACCACCCTCTGCGAAGGAGATGACTTTTAGAGAAGGATCTTCTCTCTGTGCTCTGTACCAATCCTCTTGTGTCATTCCAGGAACTGTCCCTTGCCCTGAGTTGGATAAATCATCTGGAACAGATGCTGCATTTAAAGCCAGTATCTCTAACACAGGAATGTCTGGTTTCTGTGGATGAACTGTAAATGTGACTCCACAACCATCACATATTGCTTCGAAAACCTCTGTAGAAATGAGCTGATGTTTCTCACCTGCATGATGTGTTTGTTTTAAACTTCTCTATCCTCTCTTTCTCCAGCAGGAAAGCATCATATTCTATGGGTGATCCCTGAGGTCGCCTAGACAACCCGTCTGCATCTCCATTTGAACGACCAGATCTGTATTTTATGCCGAATTGGAAGGTTGATAGGGCAGCAAGCCAGCGGTGACCATCTGCATCCAACTTTGCAGTAGTTAACACATACGTCAAAGGATTATTATCAGTCAGGACTGTGAATACTGCACCATATAGGTAGTCCTTGAATTTTTCACAAACTGCCCATTTTAAAGCTAGGAACTCAAGTTTGTGAGTTGGATAATTCTGTTCACTCTTCAACAGGCCTCTGCTGGCATAGGCAACCATCCTAAGCTGGCCTTCCTGTTCCTGATAGAGTGCAGTCCCAAGTCCTTCATGACATGCATCAGTATGGAGAATATAAGGAAGCTTCAGATCAGCAAAGGCAAGAATAGGTGCTGATGTTAGTCTGCTTATAAGGGTCTGAAAAGCAACCTCACATTCAGACGTCCAGTCATCACCAAACGGTACAGTTGCATTCACTGGAGTCTTGACACATTTCTGCTGATAAGATTTCCTGCTGTCAAGCGGTTCAAGGGTTTGGCAGTCTTGGAGTAGTCCTTAACAAAGCGCCTATAGTATCCAGCAAAGCCTAAGAAACATTTCAGTTCTCGTCTATTCGAAGGTCGAGGCCAGTCTTTTAAAGCAGAGATCTTATCTGAGTCTGTATGCACACCATTAGCATCAACCACATGACCAAGATACTTTACTGATGTCTTGAAGAAGTCACATTTTTTGGGAGACAGCTTCAGCCCATACTCCTTTAGCCGGTTCAATAGTTTTATCAGTCTATC